TCACACACACACACACACACACACACACACACACACACACACACACACACACACACACACCTCACGCACACACACACACACACCTCACGCACACTCAAACACACACACTCAAACACACACACTCAAACACACACGCACGCACCCCGAGAGCATCTTCGTCGCTGCCTGCTTCTTGCCAGCTTGTGCGATCAATGTCCACAAACACTGTGCAGATTGGCAAATCGGTGTCCTGGCCCTGGTTCGAGTCTTCATCCACGCCAAACCAAACAGTACCACCACGCGTACGCATACATGTCATCTGGCATGTGAGGCATGAGATCAAACTTCCATTCCAGCCACCACTGTGCTTTTAGGGACAACATAACACGCACACACATGCGCGCACAACCATGCACAACAGCGTGTGAGCGACTGTGCAGTACGACCTCGTCTTCTTCGGCCGCCGCTAGATGGCGCCTGAATCTTGCGGAGCAGCTCGTCCTCACGCGCACCGCCATCGCCCTCAAAGTTGATGACCTGCGGCTCTGATTGGGTTGTGATCTACAATGGCAATTTACAGCAGAGGGGGATATAGGTGAGAGAGACGCATGAGATGAAGCGTCAGTAAGTGAGTGAGATAAAATAAATCGATGCAAGATACGGAACAATGTGCCTCCTTCTTGTGCACCTCAGCTCACACAAGTGCACAGAGGTACACACGCACACGCACACACACACACACACACAGACACAGAGAACACGGAGGTACACACGCCCAATTATAAGCACACACACACACACACACGCAGAAACACACACACACACACACACGCAGAAACACACATACACACACACACACACACACACACACGCGCGCGCGCGCGCGCAGAAACACACATACACACCCATGCGTTTACACACCGTCACATCGTCCATGTGGTAGATGTAGATGGCTGGGCGGCCTTGGATGTGCAAGGTGGCGAGCCAATACGTGGCACGCCGCTTGCCCCGGCCGAATCCGACCACCTCGTTTGTTCCTGCCTTGTACAGGTCACCGCCGATTGTTGTGTCTGTTTCTTCGCCACGCAACTCCACGTCGTAGTCGAGGTGATTCTGGGGCGTGGCGTGGAAGGTCACGGCGCTTGCATCCGAGACCATCGTCGTCGCCGCCACCACCACAACAACCAGCAGCATGCGTGCCGCTGTCGATATCGACCTCATCGTGGCCGTCGTTCTCACCTTCCCCTTCTTTTGTTCCTCCCTTGTTGCTGTGCTTTCACTTGCCGCCCTCTGCTATTGCGTGTCTCCCCCAGTCTTCGTGTCATGTCACACGCACAGAGCAAATGAACGCAAGCAGCCAGCCAGCAAGCAGCAGCCAGCCAGCAGTGGCACAGGACCACGCATGGTTGCTGTCCTCCCGAGGTGGCCGCCCCGCAACGCACACAAATTGGAAAGCGACACCACAAAAAGCAATTTGGTTGACACGACCTGCGGACGACACGACACACGATGGCGACGCAGCAAACAAGCGAGAACGCTGCCAAGCAGCAGCAGGAGCAGGAGGTGCCCACGGCGCCCATGGTTGGCACAACGCCGTGCATCATCTGCATCGGTGAGCGAGTGCTGTGCTTTCGCCTGTGTACGCATGCATGTGTATTGTTTTGGTGTGTGTTTGGTGTGTGTGTGTGTGTGTTTTTTGGAGTGTGCGTGTGTGATGAAGGCGGTGTGGTGGCGTGGGCAATCTGAGCATCCCTCACACGTGCACACGTGCACCCATCACGACAGGCATGGCTGGGTCGGGCAAGACGTCGCTGGTGCAGCGAATTAATGCCTACTTGCATCAGCGGCATGCGGGGCGACAGTGCAGCAGTGCAACCAGTGCACCAGGCACAGAAGCCAAACAAGCAGCAAGCACAGCACAGGCAGACACAACAGCAGAAGCCCCCACACACGCAGAAGCGACAACAGAAGCAGAGACAGTAGACACGACAGCAGAGGCGATGGATACAACAGCCTCAACAGAGGCACCAAGTGGTGAGGCCAGTACCACGCCTGCAGCGGCTACAGCTGACCGTACGCCGTGCTATGTGCTCAACCTGGATCCGGCGGTGTATCAGCTCCCGTACGAGGCGAACATTGACATCCGGGAGACCATCAACTACAAGGCCGTGATGAAGGATTATGGCCTTGGTCCAAACGGCGCCATTGTTACCTGCCTCAACCTCTTTGCCACCAAGTTTGACCAGGTTCAAGCAGCACTGCGCGCATGTGTTTGAGTGTGTGAGTGTGTGTGTTTTGAGAGAGTGTGTGAGTGTGTCTGAGTGTGTGTTTGAGAGAGAGTGTGTGTGTGTGTCTGAGTGTGTGTGTCTGAGTGTGTGTGTGTGTGTGTGTGTCTGAGTGTGTGTGTGTGTGTGTGTGTGTGTGTGTGTGTGTGTGTGTGTGTGTGTGTGTGCGCGCGCGTGTGCGTTTGAGTGTGCGTGTGTGTGCGTGCGTTTGAGTGTGCGTGTGTGTTTGATTGTCACGTTCGTGGTTTTTTTTTTGTTTTTTGTTTCGACGTGGCAGACCTCCCCACTTGCAGTGTGTTTCGTGTGTCGCTCTTAGTGTTACCACTGCCAGCTCGCTGCCCCCCCCCCTTCTCCTTCTGTTACTGACCCGTGTGTGTGTTTGGCGCACAGGTGCTGTCGCTCATGGAGAAACGCAGTCCCACGACGGATTATTTCCTGTTTGACACGCCGGGACAGATTGAGGTGTTCACGTGGTCTGCGTCCGGCACCATCATCACGGAGACGCTTGGGTCCAGCTTCCCGACGGTTGTGGTGTATGCCATTGACACGCCGCGGTGCACCAGCCCGGTCACATTCATGTCCAACATGCTCTACGCCTGCAGCATCATGTACAAGACGCGGCTCCCCTTCATCATTGTCTTCAACAAGGTTGACGTGACCAGCCACGAGTTTGCGGTCGAGTGGATGCGCGACTACGAGACCTTCCGCGACATTGTGTCGGAGGAGACGGCGTACATTGGCTCCATGGCTCGCTCCATGGGCCTGGTGCTGGAGGAGTTTTACCACAACCTGCGTGCGGTGGGCGTGTCTGCGCTCACGGGCGCGGGCATGGAGGACCTCTTCTCCGCCGTGGATGAGGCCGTCAACGAGTACATGACAGACTTCAAGCCAGAGCTGGACGAGCTCCTCAAGAAGAAGGTGCCTGTGTGCCTGTGTGCCTGTGTGTGTATGACTGTATGACGGTGTTTGCAGCTGTGTGTGTGTGTGCGTGTGCGTGTGCGTGTGCGTGTGTGCGTGTGCGTGTGTGCGTGTGCGTGTGTGTTTGTGCGTGCGTGTGTGCGTGAATATGTTTGCAACCTGGTTTGTATGTGTGTGCGTGTGCGATAGTAGTGAACATGTTTGCAGCTTTTTATTTGTGTGTGTGTGTTGCACAGTCCCCGACCCCGTTTTCCTCAACACAACCGAATTTGGCCTGACGCTTTGGTGTTCTCACTCCACTCTCTGTTGTCTGGTTCCTGTCGGTTCTGGTTTCCACTCTCAACAGGAGCAAGAGAAGATTGACCGTGCCACAGAGTCCCTGACGAAGCTGGCTCGCGACATGAAGCTGGGAGGCAAGGTGGTCCTCGACTCACGAGCACGTATGTTTGTCGGTGTAGTTGTGATTGTGTGTGTGTGCGTGTGCACTTTTGTGTGTGTATATATAATTTTGTGCTTTTGTGTGCTTTTGTGTGTGCATATATAATTTTGTGCTTTTGTGTGTGTGTGTGTGTATGTGTGTGTGTGTGTGTGTCCTTTATGATTCGCACGTTTCATTTGCTTGGTGGTTCTCATCCCCTTGTTTTGGATGTGTGTTCGTACAGCGATGGGGGCAGGGGATGGCGATGACGAGGACGACGTGGATTCAGACGATTACGATGGTGAGCCTCACCACTGCTGATTGTGGGTTGTGTGGGGGGCTGTGGGTTGTGAGCGTACCTTGCACACACACGCACAAAAGAAGTAAACATTCACACACACACACACACACGTGTATGTACACACACATGTGTATGCACCCGCACACACACACACACACGCACCCGCGCACTCACGCTCGCACACACACACACACACACACACACACACACACACACACACACACACACACACACACACACACACACACACACACCACACAGACCTGGAGGACAGCGCTCGCGTGGTGCAAGTGGCGACAAAGACCAACGACGCGTTCCAGCGCAGCCAAGGGTTGTGATGTGATGTGACAATGTTTTTGTGTGTCGCACTGTCGTCTAAACTTGAACACCATAAATCGCAGTTCAACGCACGCCTGCTTCGCTCTCTTCGCCACTGCTTCGAGTACTTGCGGTCGGCTGACGATTCAAAAAAACCGTTGTCTGCCTGCAAGCAAGCAAGCAGCGATCGACGTTGTTGGATGGATGGGTGCAAACAGCGTGTTCGTTGTTCGTTGACGTGCACCGTCTGTCACAACACAATCACTCTGGCTGCGATCAGCAACAACAGATGTCACAAGCCACCCCACCACCCAACACCAAACAAGAAGTGGAAGCAAGTGACAAGCAGCGCAAAGCAGCGCAAAGCAGACCAAGCAAGCAGGAGGGCATTCTCCCCTTGTTCTTTGATGGCTGCTGGAGGTGGTGAAGCGTTCCACAAGGGTTCCTAGCGTGCTAACTGAGCCAGCCATCGACACAAAGCGTCACGCACACACCCGAACACACACACACACACACCCCAACTGGACGATACGAAACAGCACTGTGTGCGTGTGCGGAGAGACTGAGAGCTTGAGAGGGGAGAAGGCACGGCATGGCCTCCTTCCTAGCACCTACAGTGGCGGTGTGGTGGCGTGCCGCTGCGCTGTCTGTTCTGTTCTCCATCCTGCTTGCTTCCAGCATCCATGCTCTCTCCGCCCATGACCTCTGCTACCAAGTACGAACGGCAGCTTTGTGTGCTTGTGTGTGTGTGTGTGTGTGTGTGTGTGTGTGTGTGTGTGTGTGTGTGTGTGTGTGTGTGTGTGTGTGGTTTCTTCTATTCGCCTATTCGCTTGTTGTACGACTCTAGCTGCTGGGTCCTGTACGACACCGCATATGTCGCCACCCCTCTTGGTCACACTGTCCTTCCTCCTGCTCCCCCCTGTTCTCTTGTCCTCAACACTCCCTCCTTGCCACACTCTGATTTGCAGGTCTCGTGGGACCTTGCACGGAAGGAAGGCCCGCGACGACAATTGGTACGCCCTGTGGTGCGCATCCCAGAGAACCACACCCTCACTACTACCGTGTGCGGAGAAACACACAGCGCAGGCGACCCCATCCCAGCTGCAGGCATGTGGTCACCCACAGGCCGTATCAGCAGCGGGGGAGACTGCGAACAAGTGGACAGCGGCAAACTCTTCTACGGTACCTTCATCATGCATCTGCCCAAACAAACAGCCACACACACACACACACACACACACACACACACACACACACACACACACACGCACACACACACACACACACACACACACACACATGCACAACAGGTACAATTGTGTGTCGTGTTTGTTGTGTTGGCGTGGGTTGCTTGAGCAATACCTTCTCAGAGCACACAACTTGCTTCGCGCAATCAGTTTCGTGAACACACATAACCCCACGCAACACAAGCAAACCATGCCGCATACTCACATTCACACGGCCTTCATCTCGTGCTTTAACTCTCACTCACATCACTTCGTTGCAGCATACAACTATCCACGCATCTTCTCATCCAACACGGGGTTTGAGCAAGACAACACCAACGTCCTCTATTTCATCATCGACGACAATGACACGCTGTCCTTTGTGCTGACCAACGATCGTCCTGGCGACGTAGCGGATTCAGAAGACAATGGCGCGCTTCTCATGCGCATTGTCAGCCCTGACCTTGGCGTTGACAACGGGCACGACCCTGTCCTCATCAGTAAGTGACCCGCAAGCAACCCTTCAAGCTGCCACGTGTTTTGGTGTTGCAGCGCTACCTGTCACTCCCTCACTCCCTCACTCCCTCCCTCACTCCCTCACTCCCTCCCTCACTCCCTCACTCACGCACTCACACTTCTCTCTTACACCCTCACACCCTCACGTACTCACTCACGCACTCACACTTCTCTCTCTCTCACTCACACACCCTCACACCCACACGTACAGCGCTGGAGGACGATGAAAACTCGGACGCGCCAGATTGCTCGCAGTCTGCCAAGGACTGCTACAAGTGGGACCCACAAGACGCAACTGGCGACTTCTTCTGGACTTGGGTAGGTTTCATATGCCGTGAGCTATTCTTCTTCGTGAAGCGGCGGTGCGACACATGAGAGTTCCTTTTTCACTCTTCCTTGCCTCTTCCCCCTTCCTCCATCTTCCATCTTTTTCTTCCTTCCTCCTTCTTCCATCTTCTATCGACGTCACACACACACACACACACACACACACACACACACACACACACACACACACACACACACACACACACACACACACACACACACACACACACCCGCAGAGCTGGTGCTGTACGGACGGGATGGTGTTGCATCCACTCCCGCCGTCCGGGTTCAGGTTCAACCTCCTCTTCCGCCGTTCGTCTGGGCTGGATCAGTTCAGCTTCGCGTCCTACAACCAGGATGACAACTCTCTCAGCTTTGTCCAATTTGACGTGGTTCGTACAACTCCCAGCGCCTCTGAACAACTGCGTTGACTGGCACTTGTTTAAATGCGTGCGCACAGCCACCCGCAAACATTTCTCACCACTCGTGCATGTTCACGCCGAACCTTGCGAACTGGCCCTTGTACTTCCCGTTTACCTTACTTCCCGCTCAAGCGCTTACCCTCCCCCCACACACACACACAAACACACTCACACACACACACACACACACAAACTCACTCACACACACACACACACAAACTCACTCACTCACACACACACACACAAACTCACACACACACACACACACACACACACACACACACACACACACACACACACACACACACACACACACACACACACACACAGGAGGAAGTGCTGCAGGAAGGCATTGAGATCCACGCGTTCACGTGTGACAACTATTGCGCAACCAAGGTACACAACAATCTACGTGTGTCTGCTCGTCACCTGCTTGGGGGTGAGCTGCTTTCAAGCAATTCAGACCCTGTAAAGCAAATCTTCTGCACGCGATTGCTTCAACTAACATTCTCCTGCTCATCCCTCCCTGTGTCGTGGCCTGCAGGCATCGTGCGGCGAATGCGCGGCCACAGACGGCTGCGCGTGGTGTGGTGCAACTGCAACATGCATCCCCAACGAAGAGGAGGTGAGAGTGTGCTTCATAACAGTTCCAGCAGTGACATTACCGGGAGAGTGCTTGTGCGTGTGTGCGTGCATGCGTGCGCGTGCATGTGTGCGTGCATGCATGTGTGTGTGTGTGTGTGTGTGTGTGTGTGCATGCATGTGTGTGTGTGTGTGTGCGTGTGTGTGTGGTGGGGGGGGGGGACTCCCTCACGACCCAACGGAAGGTTGTGAAGGTTTCTACAGCGAGGAAAGAAATTACGGCTCTGAGTTGAACCGCAACAATAATTTTACGGATCTTAGTGTTTACAACCACACCAAATCCCTGAACAATTTGGGTTTTAAACCCGCCGAGTGCCGGGGGGCCATATGTTGTTTAACCCTGATACAGTTCGCGTCGTCAGATGTGGTAAATGAGGGTACGCTTATAGGCGCCCTAACTACATTAGCGCGATTTGTGGCCAAGCCCGCGCCACCTGTCAAT